GCGGGAAATTGGCGTTTGAAAAAGCCTAAATAAAATTGATATGAAATTTACCTTGGCACCTTTAGCAGCTTTTACAATAACATATGGTACTCGATCACCAACACTTGGTGCTGTTGCAGCATTCCTCTGCAATAATTACGAATAACACAAAACATCTCTTAAGTTATCAGATTTGTAAATGTATGATTAAAAAAACACTAAAAGTGTCACAAACCTTACGCAAGCGTTCAGCAAGTTCAACATGAGCTGATCTAACTTCATAGTCATCTCCTGATTTGGTTAGACCCTATCATTTATACAAACCCATTAGAGAGAGGTTGATGATTCTTTAGAAATCATAAAAAACTAGCAAAACATTTTTTTACCTTAGTAATTACCAAAAGTGATAAGTCAATTCGGTTCATAAGAAGATCCGAAATTGTATTCTTAACATAATTTTCTGCACCTGAAATATATCTCTATCAATTAGTATTTTATGAAGACTAGTAAACAATTATCCCTTCGCACTGTCTCGATTCCTGTCAGTACCATTCATAATATAATTAGTGTTTTGTCAGAAATTATAGTGCTACAAAATGGGAACATATTATTTACCTTTGGTATCCATTTTGTCAAATTTTTCTGAATTTGTCCAAAGCAAACCAGCATACTTAATCAACATATATGGGGAATAAACCTTCTCAAACTCCAATTTGATCGGCTTTCCAAGGACATAAAATAACCAGATAAAAATTCAGTATAAACTCAAGAAAAAGCGTAATCAGAAGCAGAAAATATAATCACTCACTTTGGTAAAGTTGTGCTAATATGTTCAGCAGTTTCCCTCCCCAACTTCATTGCAGTTTCTACATCCAAAACTCCAAATCGAACCATGACCGAATCCGTGTCTCCATATATAACCTACTTGGTTCATCATTCTCAGTCAAATTCATGAAATTTAAAAGTAAACTTAAAGAGTTATTTAATTAAAATGTATGTACCTCTGCATTGTGCTCATACCCTCTCAATGTTCTGAATTTACCTTCCACTAGTTTTTTTGTTTCTTCAATCATTTGTCGACCTTAAAAAATGAGGTCCATCAGAATAATAAACAGAGAAAGATACAAATTTTGCAGTGCTCAAGTAAAGACTTCTTTTTTTACCATAGCTTGTTACACTTGAGGATATTTCTAAGCATGGTAACATCCCAACAGTAGCTCCAGTAAACCCATATACAGAATTTGCACTTAACTGAAACAACAATAGGAATACAAAAATGTAACAAGATTAGTTATCAGAGAAAATATTGCTCAGAATTAGCAAACATTCTAATAAAAAATTTCTGAATCATCGAGCACGAACCTTTAAAGCTAGTTGTCTACCATCCAAAACAGCCTTCTCAAGCGGATCCTTAGCTTCCTAAATAAACAAAATACTAGTTTCAGTCCCAAGAAACTTAGCAAAACTTAAATTTGGCTCTTTAAATATTTCTTCAGAGTTGAAATTTCAGTTACCTTTAAATCTGCCTTAGCTCTTTTGCGTGCAGTAATAAGCTCTTCAAGAATTTCTGGAACTAATCCCTGAATATTTGACAAAAAAATTATATTCCCTGAAGTATATTATTCAAGAGAAGATAGATGAATTTTAAGGTAAACCTTTTGCAAACTTTGCTTAACAAATATTTCTCCAGAAGAAGTTTTATTGACTTGTCCAGGTGCAAGATTCAGTTTACGTACATCTTCAGGCGTCACCTTCAAAGACCAATATAATGCTCCCAAAATTTAATAAAATGTATGAAAAATTATATATAAAAAATCAACAAAAGTTGAAAAAGAAGTATACCAAGGTGCAATAGCATAGGTTATATGCCATCATAATTGACGGATACAATGAAGCGAAATCAAGAGCTCCAATTGGTTTATCATAGAAACCTGTTCTTGCTTCTAAAACCTGATTTATCATTTAACAAAAAAACAAAATCTCAATAAAGAACTAATCGAAAAACGAGAGTCTAGATGTTAAGACCCGTAGATTCGCCAACTTACAGTTGCGCCTTCATAAGTAGTTCCTTGTTCAAATTCAAACTTATCAGAAGTAGGAAGAACCAGATTCCTCTGTTTAGCTTTCCTAAGAAGTTGAGATAGAACCTAGAAACAAATAAATGTTAGAGATACAAGATTATCCACAAAATTAGATCTTTACTGAAAAGTATATACCTTTATCATCTGTCCTCTAGAAAGGAGAAAGGAGATAGGGACACCGGTTACACGAGCCATTTCGACATAACTATATATATACTTCAGTTTGTCTAAAAGCCTCTGTGGTAGATATGCATCCTATTCACACCAAAGAGTTCTCAATCTTATGATTATGTTTTACACTTGACACAATTGAGGTAGAATCCAAAATATGTACCTTCAAACAATAAACAGCAAGGCGCTTTCTAGTTGTAACATTACCGTTGTGGAGATCGGTTATAATAGAGTGATTGATATCTTCTTTCTGAAGAAGATAGTTCCAGTCAAGTTAGGTACATAGAAGAAAAAACAGAAGATAACCTAAAATATTTTAAGTACAATGATGGTTTTGTTTCACCTGCTCTGAAAGAATGTGAGCTGAGACAGAGTTTAGTGAATAAGAATTTAATTTATGACCTCTCTGTATTGCCTACAGTTAATAAAAACAAGAAAACAAAGTTAATGTTTGCATTTAGATAAACAAATCTAATTTAATGACTCAGACCTGAAAAAGGTCAAATTGAAGTCTTCCTTCGATTGTAATCTCTTTGCTTTCTCTTGTTCCATGTTGTCTGAAAACAAGACAAGTAATGCATGAGACCAGAAACTCATGAACCATGAAAGAAGAAAACTAAGGTAGAGAGAGAGAGATTGCAGTTTGCAAGAACCTTGATGAAAAATGTGCGTTCTTGACACAGACGTTGCTCTTCTTTACGCGACCAAGAAAAGGAAATTCCGATATCCCTAATGTTGCAGCTCTCTGATTAATTAGAAAACAGAATACTTATAAGTAGTGAAAGGTTCAATGATAAATACATGTAATGAAAGACCATCATGCACTTCTAGTAAACAGAGTTGGTATAATTGATGTTCAAGTACCTCAATCAGATACGGTATATCAAATTTGCAGATGTTGTAGCCAATTATGATATCAGGATCAACTTCTCGAATGAAATCCTGCAAGCCATTGAATCCTTCCCCGGTTAATCGAAATGAAAATGTATTTTTTTTAGTAATGTAAAAGAACATAGGATCGGTTAAAGAAATTACCCTCCAAGCTAATAAGACTTCTCTTTCGATTTCAAAAGACATAACATTTGCTCCTTCAATTGGATCACATGACTTTAGAGTCATTACATTACGAACAAATGGCACATTCTCTCCTTGAAGAGTAACAATGTTAGCTACCTAGAAATTAAAAAAGCAATGAGATCTAATTAATGTTTAAGTTACTTCAAAGAAGAATCAAAAACAAAAGATGCATAAGAGAGATCTAAAAACCTGGATTACAGGATCATGCTTAGGCTCTGGAAAGTGTCCTTTACGACCTGCACACTCAATATCGAAGCTCAGTACACGAAACGGAGCCATTTTCGAGTATTCACCTTCTGCAGCATGACTGATCAAATCCGAGTACCTTAAATACCAATGTTAAGGAAAGGCATGCTACATAAACTAGCATCTGTTACTAGAAGAAGAAAAAATAAGAGATCATATATACATAGACAAGGATACAGGCAATCAAATTCCAATTGGCAGTACGACAAAGTTTTTGCATTCGTCTTATATTTCCCAAAAGGCACTTCGATCCAGTTTCCTCCCACGATATCAAGATCAATCATGAAACGAAGATCGAAAGGAACAGTAGTCTCGTATGTTTGGAATCTCTTCACACTTAATCCATCGATTTGTATGCCTTTATCAAGGATTCCTACCAATTTGATATATGCATTGACAAAATCAGTATAAGTACAAACACTTTGGTAAAGAGAGACTAAAACAGAGTTTTTATTGCTATACCACGACAAGTAGCCACCATTGTTGGCAATGCAACTACAATTTTGAGAAAAGTTTGAGACTTTTGTTGTTGATAGTACATAATGCTTCTTTTATGCATAATTTCTATGGGACGAATCGAATTCAAGGCATCACAATATCTGTTGGATTCCCTCATCCTTCCCTGAAGCAAAAGTCAGAATGATTATTGAACAAAAAGCAGGGAATTTTAAACTTACCCATATCAAACTATATAAACCTCAAGAATTTGATGAAGTCGAGAAATATTGTCAGGGCCAATTCCAGGAGGGCAAGCAATGTAAAGGTAGGGCTCAAATCCATGAACAAGGCAACACACACTGTGACCTAACAATTTACAAAAAAAAATCGAATTATTCGATGCACATTGCAGCAAATTAGATTAAAACTCTTATCAATTAAACCGAAAAATCGCACCTTCTTTCGTTACACCGAAAATCCTGATGATTGGAGCTTGCCCTGAAGAATCTGGCAATAGCTCCTTGTGACTCTCTCCATTTACATAATCAATCTCCAATTGCTGAAAAACTAAACAGAGCACAAAAACAGATTTTCTTTTTAATTTAGCTTCATAAGACGAAGAAAACCACAATAAACGAGTTTCGAGTAAAGGTTTTACTCAACTGATACTCTTAGATTGAGAGAGATAATCGTGTGAGGGCTTAGGTCGAGTCCACTTCGAAAACCGCAACGATTCCTCAACCCGGATCGTTTCGTCAATGAGCACGTCATCGACCAAATATTCAAATTCTAGGGTTCCGGTCGCCGGAGACGGTGAATGATTTCCCGTGGCCTGATGCTTCTCCGCCGGAAAGTTACACGACGGAGACGGACGCTTTCTGGAATTATGCTCTCTATTCATGGCTTAGACCGTGAATTTGTGATCAATTGTCTTTCTTTCTTTGAACTATATAACCTTCAACGAAAATTACCCTAAATCGTATACATATTCATGCGCCTCTGCACACTGCAGTACCCGCCAGTTTTAGTTTAAAGAAATCTCACCAAATTTCGTTCTTTTGAACCTCATCCGGTTCGCTTGCCGCCCTTTACTGAATTAGGTTAAAAATAAATCACGATTTCGGTTTGATTGAACCGGTTACGGTTCGCTTGCTATAAATAATACAATTTTGGTTCGTTCACAAATCCGATCTCTTTTTTTCTCTTTCTTCCACTTGAGTAAGGTAATAATGATGTTAAATATATAAATTACTCAAATGATGTTATATTAAAAAAAAAAATTGAATCTATTTGTAAAAATAACTTGAGATTATGATTTATACTTGAGATTATCGTCAGTAACATAACGAATCTTAATATCAAAATATACTATCCATATAA